ATTTTATTTTATTTTATTTTATTTTATTTTATTTTATTTTATTTTATATTTTAGCACTCTGTACCACGGGGTAGTCATTTAGCTGTCTCCTCATACTCTGAATTAAGGAGAGAACAGAGCAAGAAGACTTGACAGCCTGTGCCTTCTTACCAACGGCATTTTTTATTACACGCCTCCCTAACCCCGCCACCCCTGGCAAAAGGTTCTTGACACAAGTCAAGTCTGCTGTCTCCGGGATACTGGCACCACCTCCATCTCAGGGATAGTGAAATGACTGAGGTCTCTCTGCATTTCTACAAATTCCCTTCTTTGTTACCCCAAGTTTCCAAGACCTGCTATCTGTACTCCAAGTTTGGCCTTAGGCTTCTGTAGCACCTTTCCTGAGGCACTATGGGAGAACGGAGAATCAAGGGGTGTAGAATGTGCTCAAGGGAACGGCTCATCCCTTAACATGGAAAGATTATTTTGCCCCACTCTCCATATGTGAGCATGAGAGAGGCAGAAGGAAGATTGGCGAGGGGTAGATATGGTGCAGGACTTGGTGGGAACCGGGAAGCCAGGAGAGTCTGATTTTCCTTAAATTTGTCACTTGGTGTGCTGGCTAGTTTTATGTCAACTTGACACAAGCTAGAAGTCATTTTTGGAAGAAGGCACTTCAGTTGAGGAAATGGTCCCACTAGACTGCCTTGTGGGCTAGCCTTGTGGTACATTTTCTTGGTTGGTGATTGATATGGAAAGCCCAGTTAACTGTGGGTGGTTCCATTCCTCAGACAGTGGTCCTGGGTGCTACAAGAAAGCAGACTGAGTAAGCCATGGAGAACAAGCTGATAAGAAGCATTCCTCTGTGGCTTCTGTTTTAGTTCCTGCCTCCAGGTTCCTGCCATGAGTTCTTGTCCTGACTTTCCTCAGATTTGAACTGTTGCCTGGAATTGGAAGCTGAAATGAACCCTTTCTTCACAACAATAGGAGCCCTAACCGTGACACTTGGGACCCGCTCTCTTGGCTTCCTTTGTGGAGGATAGAGCTTTCAAAACATCAGCCTCCAGCTACCCAAAGTATGAAAGCCACCTGGTGCCTTACCAGGCAGTGACACTTGGACTTTAGGACGATCTGTGGGTGTGTCTCAGCGGAGCCACACCTCTGCACTCACTGTCCCTGCACTGGTAGGACAGATGTTCCCGGTATGCCAGATAGTGCTTGTTACTGCTGCCTGCTGTTGTGTCCTCTGACATGACCCACCTGGCTTGATGCATACACTACTTACTTCGAATGTGGCCTGGGCTTTCTGGAAATAAAGAATGAAGGCTGACAGAGCCCTTGTCACTAAAGAACAAAGCCTAGCCACTACTCAATGGCCTGTGGTCCTCTGAAAGTACCCATCCCAGCAACCAGAGGAGAGCCTTCCAGACACACTCATATTCACAGCTGTCAGAGTCAGGTTTGAAGTCATTGTTCCTGAGACTTCTTGGGGCCTCTCTTAGAAGCAGCTGAAGGCTTCTGGTTTAATTACTAGACTAGGGAATTCTGCCTCTGGGCTTCTCTCTAGGGGCACTCTGTAATTGGTGGGTCCTAGAGACACCCATCTAAGCAAACATGATGTCGTAGAGCTTGGGAGAAATACGAAGATCTATGGACCTGTATAGGATGAGATGGGATGGGACTGTCCATGGGGAGAGAGGCAATGAGACCCCAAGGTACCTACTTGAGGAGCAGGGTCTCACTTCTGAGCTCTGTATTGCTTCTCTGTGGACTTTAGTCCTTCAAGAGACTAAAGGTTTAGGCAGGCCAAATACTTCAAAAGATCAGCCCTATGCCTCCAAAACTCTTCTGCCCTTCTCAGCCTAGATCTTCAAGCAAAATTTCTTCTGCTCTGTCTCGATGGGGTACCTTCATGCAACCCCTTCAAGGGTCCCTTAATCTTGATTCCCCCAGGGATATACCATGAATACGTGGTATGAGACAAGTTTGAGCAAGTTCTCATGGGGTATTGACATACCTCCATAATATGACTTTGCAGTGTTTTATTGTGTTTGGGGTAACCGGGGAGGCCTGGGATAGTTGGGTCAGCTGTGGGTCAACTCTTCTAGGAATATTCACTTCCTGTACTCTGACTCTCATGCCCTTACACATTTGAATACATATGCCTGCAGAAGGACATGACTGGACTTGCTACTGCTCCTGTACCAACACACGAGCAGACGTGGTTTCTAGTGTATGTTTGGGATGAGTCGAATGATTGAGCTTCATCTTCTAGAAGGCACTGGTCTTACCATGGTGGGGGCAGCCCTGGGGGTAGCCCAAAGAGCTGTCACTCTTCACCATGCAGGGAACTGAGAAAGGCTTTACCTTCCCTGAGCCCCAGTTGCTCTTCAGTAGCATATGTGGTAACTGCGATGACCAAGCCACAAGGTCCTTGCAAAGGGCTTGTCACAGAGCACTCAGAAGACAAGAGCTGGCCCCTCTTCAGACTCTGGACAGTATTTATTCTTTTTTTTTCTTGCACAATAAAGCATTTCAGAGTGAGATGAAAGAACATTTGCCTTTGGGACTCGTTGTGGCTTTCTCCTAAGGCAACCGTCCCAAGACACACTCTATAATGAGTGTGATTAGTGTGATGCAAAGACGTGTGTGTGTGTGTGTGTGTGTGTGTGTGTGATGAGAAAACTAGCATGTAGTGAGTTGAGGTTAAGGCCACAGCCCACAGTGCACAATACTGCCCAATAACAATGAAGCACCAGGCCCTAGACATCAATGAATGGTAATTAGGAGGGCCTGGGGTATATCTAGGACTTGAAACACTCCTCCATGCCAGTTGTCTCTGTAGCAGGGCCTCTGACAAGTCTCGTCCAGGGCTGCGTGTCTGCTTCACCACTGGAGCGCCCTGAACACCACCACGAGCTGCTTAGGGGGGTGGGGCAGAACTCAGTGTGGAATGGGGGTCCTCAGTCTGTGTTTTCCCAGAGTGGGAAGCAGTGGAGTCTGGGACGATTGCTGTTGTTCCCAGTCTTCTGTACATCCAGGCACTGATGGTGTACCACTGGGAGTTAGAAACAGGTCTCTCGGGTCTGTGCTTCCTCTCAGGGCATCCACATGCCACTCAGGAAGAGAAAGGCAGAGCCCAAGGTGTGGGCAGAACCAGGTTTGATTCTGAGTGAGTGCTCAGAGTGCAGAGGGGCTGAAAGGGAGAAGGCCTTCTCAGGGAGATCTAGGAGATCTGTTTACCAAGAAGGCCTCCCCTCCCCCTGCTCCACCCCCAAGACAATCTTTGATGAGGATAGGGTCTTTGCTTGTTCAAACTTCTTTGTGTGATGGTGGATGTGAATGCATATACCTTACTCAGTGTGAACCAGGGATTAAATGCCTATGCAGGAAGGAATTCCCAGGAAGGGA